CTGCTATGTGTTGGCCAACCACATAGACCTCCTGAATGCAGAAACATTCAGCGGGTAGGAATATTTTTTTTCTTTTTTGTTGCTTTTCTACCTTTTCTCCGATCTCTGTCATGTCTCCTCCGGGCAGCACTTCCAGATCTGGCGTCAAGGCGCAGGCATCCAGAACACGACGGTATTTGGACTCGTTGAAGCTCTTCCCAAACAGGATGTTGTCCCGCAGGGTGGCATTTTGTATCCACGCCTGCTGGGGAACGTAAGCCACCGACCCCTGAGAACAGAGTCAGATTTCTGTTAGTTCTCCCAGTTTTTTTTGTGTCCAGAGTGCGTGAAATGTTCACATTCTGAATGTTAGGGATTCCAGCTGGCTGCACAAAATAAATCATTTGCAAATCGTTCCACTGTGTATGCAGTGCAAGCACTTGAAACCTGATACTATAAAGCCTAAACCCCGACAATTTACGATCTACAAAGTGACGACCTGGAGCAGCTGCTGAACATCAAAGCTAGACTCATTTCTTTTTTTTTTTTGATCTGTCTAATTATTTTTTAATCCGAGGTATAGCTGTCAAAAATGCTGATGTTTTAGAAAACATTGAACTTTAGCTTAAAAAAAAGTACAGATTTCTGTTTGCTTTTTTTTTAAAAAATCATACTTCACTGTTTCAGGTCATTAAATACATTTCAGGAAAAGACAGAGAACCTGAGCAAACAGACATGTAATAAGTGATAATTTTATTCATTAAGGGGGAAAATATAATTGACCATGAATTATAGCCAATAACCACATCTGGGCATTAGTACTTACAGATTTTAGAATAAAGAAAACACTTAAACAAAACCTCTTTAACGCAGGTCTGTGCTGTATGTATAAAAGAAATAGAAAAATACTTTGGAAAATATAGTTTTCAAAGCATTTTCCAATAATTGGGAAAATATTACTGCACTATTAAACAGTTGAAATAGGATGCTGAAAAAGTATCTGTTGGAAAAATATTAGTCATCATTTTTATAACCCCATATTTACTTATTGAATTATTACATTTATAGCATTTGTTTTACTTAGCATCTTACTGTATTCATAGACTCAAAGAATCATTTATTACTTGCACCTGTTTAGGTTTATCATCTACTAATTTATTCTTTTTTTTTTTTTGCATTCTGCTCTCATCACCAAGTTCACATCTGCCTGTGCAGAGTTCACTGTGACCTTTTGATGACCTTCTGACACTCCAACGTTGCAGAAAAGTATTGTTTCCTGTGTGTTCAAACTCAACGCAGCAAAGACACAGACTGTAGAAGTGAGGTCGTTTCTGTTGAAGTGACGTTACTGGATTTGTAAACTCATCCCATTTTCTCCTGGGCAGAGAATCCGTCTCCAATTCAATTCTGTCTTGAATGTTCCTAATATTCATTTTTATAACAGAATCCTTGTTTTAAAAATTCCTGCACAAAAACCTATTCAAACTTGAAATTAAGTGTTGATTTTAAAAAGTTTGCACAATGATGCAACTGTAATCTGTGGGAAAGTATGAAAGATTTCATCGGGGCGAAAAATGTTTACTTTTAATTAATTCTTGTGGTCACAGAAATCATAAAAGTCTTTTGTTTCAGTCAAACAGAAACTCTTCAGTTTTTACAACAGTGAGTCACGTGTTCAACCCTTGTTGGGAAATGTTGCGGTAGGTTCATCTGCAGTCTCGTAAAAAAAGGGAGACGCTACTTTACAGGGTAAGTAATTCTCGGTGAAGTCGTACCCGAACAGAAACTTCGCCTTCCACTTTCTCCATGTCGCCCAGCAGCGCAGAGATCAGCGAGGACTTCCCACAGCCAACGTGACCCACCACTGCTACCAGGGAGCCCTGGGGCACCATCACGTTGATGCTAGCAACACACAGCAAACATGTCACAGTCAGAAGAGTAGAAAGACAGGACTTGTGAATGGATGTATCTGTGGCTGAGCGTGGCGTACTTGTCCAGAACAGGTTCATCTTCTTTGGCCCATGTGAATTTCCCGTTGACTACCGAGACGGCGAGCTCTGTTGAGTAACAACGGGATAAAAGACTTTCTTTTCAACAGCTTTCAACTGATGACAGACGAAAAAGCCTGAGTCATGTCACTGCTCTTTAGGTCCAGAGAGACTGGGTGAAAGGCGAGACGACTTTGCAGAAGGATTTCCCTTTTGGAAGAAGTCAAAAGAAACCCTGACAACGCCCTTTAAGTAGGGATTGAGCTTTGTTTTACCTGAGCTGGTCTTTCTGTCCACGGAATCTGGGTCCAACTCATCGTGACTCAGGAAATTTTGGATGCGCTTCAGCGACACGCTCGCCTGAGAAGCAGAAGAGAGACGTAAAGCTGCAGAAGAAAACGACGCAGGGAGGATGAGGAAGAGAAGAAGAGGGGGAGGAAAGGATACCTGTACGAGACTGCTGATCACTTGGGGGAGCATGTTCAGAGGAAATCGAAGGATGTTGAAAAGGGAGAGCGACACAAAGGCCTTCTCTGCGTCCAGAACGTTCTTCTCATCCACAGTGACGAACACGGCAAACGTTGTCAAGGCAACCTGGGTAAAGCAGCAAAACGTCAAGGCCTATTGTTGCACCATAGTAATGCAGCAGTTAGCATCATGTAAGCACATTATTTTACTTGTTTCAGAAAACAAAAAAACAAGTGCTTAAGGCATTAGTTTTTGCTTACATTCAAAGATGACATGGGACTCCTCAGGGCTACATTTTTGTATTAGCTTCTATTATCAGTTTCTATTAGCTGTCCCATTTTATATAGTATATCTCCTGCCATACATATGCTGCATTAATAAGGATTCCCTATATTATGTGGCATGCTAAATGTCATTAGTATCCAGGGAAAATGTAATTTGCTTCATATTTCTAATTAGAAAACTTGAAGAGGGAATAAATGAAAGGGAAGTAACTGCTTTTAAGACCTACTAGAAAGAATATATGTCAGAAAACAGGTATTTTAAAATCACTATAAAATAAAACCAAAACTGATCAAAGTACTGATGCATCCAGAACCAGAATCTGATTAAAAATGCCTAAGTAGTCTAAACCAGTTTAACTTGAATTATTTATATCAAATCTCCTATTTAAGGTACTTGTGACATTTTTGGGGGCTCGTCTAGGATTTGGATCAGTCATCAGCTACTAAATTCTTTAACTATACAACATTATCAAGATGCAGCAACTTGGTAAAAGTTTAAGAACACAATTATAACAAAGATAAGTGATGACAGTCTCCTGCTAAAACAAATTGAAGAGGAAGGAGTTTCAGAAACAACATAAAAATTGACATTTTCGTCAAATTTTAAGTTAAAAAAGAGCAATGTGGTCTTTTCATTCTTCTCACTTCTTACAATTAGTAAACAGTCAAACATTAAGAGCTTACAAGGAAAGGGGCACTGGTCCAGGCCATGGTGGAGAGTGCTCCCAGGTAGGCTGTTTTTCTGAGGACGATGAGCTCCTTCTGCCGGATATCCAGGACCTTTTCTTTGAAGGAGTTCTCCCAGGCATACAGCTTGAGGACTTTGATGCCGTTAAGGATCTCATTCATCAGCTTGATACGAGCGTCCTTGTGCTGCATCTGCTCCACCTGAGGATGACAAAACGGCATTGTTTTTATTGTGGATGTACAGGCCTAGAAATACCCACTATACATGAAAAGCTAACAAGCTACCTTAAAATTTAAGGCAGATTTTGAGGATTCAATGACACGCGGCAAGATTGTACATGTGATTTATATGTACGATGCAGAAACCAACTGGTTGGAAATTCAAAAATTCATATTGACCATAACAAAGTGCTGCCATGTTGAACTTCTTTGGCACAGACTGAGGGAAACAATTTTCAAGTAATTTTCTCCATCAGTCAGGTGTTGAAATTAGAGGAATGAGAAATATAAAAGGCTTTTAAAGGGAGACTGCATCTTCTTCGACCCAGACGTGTCATTTGATCCACAGGAGAGCGAGACTTTGATCAGATAACAGGAAGGCTGAATAGACCACAACAAAGGTGCGAGTTTTCTAAATCTCCCAATATTGAAATAAACTGACTTTTTTAATCTCAGTGTTAAGGCAAGAAACTACATTGTCCTGGGAATCCATATGGAAACTGTTGTACTAATGTTAGCCTGCACTAATTGCTAAAATAACATCCTTAAGACTATTTAAAATTCAGCATAATTAGCATATCAGCAATGTTTTCAATTCCACATTGGATTAGTTTTATTACTTCCATTGAGATTGTTTCTTTTTCCAAACCTTCACTCCTGTTTTTTTATATTATTGTTTCATCTTTTTCTGTGCAGCTGGGTTGATTTTAGTCAATATGTTTTTTTTTTTTTACTTTGCTCTAGTTAATTTCCATTTGGGATCAATAAAGTATTTTTGAACTTGAATTAAATTTAAATCAGTAGGTTGGAACTTTACAGAAACTTGAGGTCAGAAATTAACCTAAAATGTCTAATTGGGGCATCTCTGTATCAGAAAGTTTAAGTCGGTTCAGTACTGGCACCTGGGCCTAATCCATCCACCCAGAGCCCAAAATGTTAGAACCCGTTTTATGTTCTGTAGTCCCGAGAAGATTCACTGTAAACAATTTGGAAGTACTGCATAATAATTACAAAAAGTACTAAACAAATACTCCAAATTAAATGAATTCCACACAGCTTCCCTCTCTGTACCTGATAGGCGCGCGTCTTCATGGCGATGACGGCATTAAAGGGGATGAGCATAATCATGACAGCCACACCAGCCAGCACAGATGGACCAAGGTTCTGCAAAATGTGAAAGAGACATCAACTTTCACAGTGCTGGGATTTTTAAATGTGGTTAAATTTGCTATAATGTCTGTGATGTGTACCTGCCAGAGGAAGTAGAGTGCCAGCATAATTTGCAGAGGAGCAGACCAGAGCATGTTGAGGAAGGTGGTGAGATCCATGAACCTCTGTGCGTCGACAGACATCAGATTCACGATTTCTCCCACCGTAGAGGAACGCTTGGCAGCATTCGTTATAACCAGAGACTGGAAAAAAAAAACAATAAAAAGTGGTGAGGAAAAATTAATACTCCTTAATGCAAAACTATTATTATTAAAACTGCTGCTTAGTCCACTCTGTTGACCGTTACACTTTCATTAATATCTTCAAAGCCAAAGTTTGTGCTCCACAAACCAGCACAAACACAGCTGAGTTGATTGACACCAACTTTGCTTGACCTTTCATGACCTCTGGAAACATTTACCAATATCTTTAAAATGATAGAAACACAAACGTAGCACAGACATTTGCCACCCATTTTGTTAGATTTGAAGAAAGCGGGGTGGTGGTTTTAGAAAGTGACTGTCGGACGCGTACCTTCCTGTAGATGGCTCCTATGAGAGCGGTCCGGACGTTCATTCCTGTGACGAAGCAGTACTGAAAGTGCCGGTGGAGGATGAGAGTCTGCAGGATGGCTGTGAAGAACATGAGGAAGGCCAGCGTGTAACCCCACCAAACAGGGGCGTCCTCCTGTTTGGTGAAGGAGATCAACATCCTGGAAAAGTAAAAAAAAAAAAAAAAATCAAAGTTACAAACAACCAAAGCGTTCAACAATCTGTACCTCATTAACGGGAGTGATTTCAGGTGTCCTGTGTCAAACGTTTGTACTGAAATTAATTAAGTTGGTCAATTTGTACCAGGGGACAAATTATTGTCAACTAAACCTCTTTATCTTTTTGCAGCTGATAGAGGCTGCAAAGCTAAAAGAAACACCTTTTTCTTTCCAGAACTTTGGCAAAGTGTAAATGATGAAGTCTCAGTTTTGTCATTTTCTTAGATTAATTCTTAGCATTTGAGCTATATGGAGGCACACTGTTCAACATCTGATTCTTTATGTGATAATATAAAAAAAATATAAAAGGAAGATCCTGAATGACCTCCATAAGTCTGGATATGAAAGCAGAGACTCTTCAGGTAGGAGACAGCTAATGTATTAGGGTGAAGGTAAACATTTGTCTTCCTCGCCGTCGTTATTTAGGAAAAAGAAATAAGTTTGGTAATCCTTACTGACCTTAAACTGAATGAATGTAGTTTAATTTATGCCAGGAAGTGAAAAGATTCTGAATTTTAAACAGTGTAAGTAAATATCTTGTTTCAGCAAAACCTTCCTGACTACTGAAGTAAGCTAGCATGTCATCTTTCAGCTAACTTTTCAGATAGCCTGAAAAGGTTTTTACTGCAGCATGCTAGTCCATTTTAAACCAGTTAGCTTTTTTAACAGTGCTGTTTTCGCTCATTTTTCCTTTTGTTTCTTAATAGCTAGCCGACCAGGCACACTGCTCATCATTTTCATACTTTAAATTCTTTAGGGTGGTTGCGAGACTTTGGCTACTAGCAAAACTACAGAAACACTCGGTAACACTTTATTTGAAGGGGTGTGCATAAGACTGACATGACACCATCATAAACATGGCACAACTCATGTCATGAACATGAAGAAGTCTTTACGAATGTTTATGACAGTTGTCATGAAGTGTCATTCGGTAAATAATGACACTTTAATGCAAAGTTGCTCTAAAAGTTGCATTAAAGTCCATTAAAAGTGCCAATGTTGCATGATTTTGTAAATTATGATAATTTAATGCAAATAAAGTGTTACCAAACAGGCAAACAACAGCAGCAGGATGCTTGTTGCCTGACAAAGATACAATCAAGCCCTTACTGCCAGCCTGGGTTATTTGACTTGTTAGCAGATGAGATTTAAACCTCGATAAGATCGGACAAAAGATTACCAGCTGTGGGTCAGAGAACATGTAGTTAAAAACTAGACAGAAGTAGAAAAGGCATCTTGAATTTGTCTGACGTACTTGACTAAACACACCAGCACACTTACAGTTTCATCACTACTTCATTTTTTATCCATTTTTAACAGAAGATTTTAGGATATGCAAGTAGAGTGCTGCATCTTGAAAACTCAAATTAAGACTTGAGGGTGTTTTGAACTCTCTGCCTTTGCTGCACAGAACAGATACGATTGGTATTAGTTAACAATCTTGAGTCATATGACAAAATGCATGGAGGGAAATTTGTTGGTGAGCAGCTATCATCTTATCTGACTGAAACTTGGAGATACGGCTTTACTGCTTTCACACAACATTTGCCTTAATCAAATTTCCACCCGGGGGCCATTAAGGGCCCGAAGAGGAAATCTATTTACATCTCAGACAAAGCTAGCACACATTTTTTACTTAAAAGAAAGCAACCCTACTTTGGATAGATGCAAACGCAACATGGAAAAAAAAAAAGTGTTGGAAATAGTTTTCAGAACTGGAACAAAGAGGGCTTTATTTGCTAACGTGTTGCAGCTGACGGAGACTCTAAACTTTATTATTTAATTTTTTCTTTACCTGAGCAGCTGGGGGTTGACGAAGGTAATGGAATCCTGCAGGAGCTTAAAGCCTGAGCCAATCAAAAAGTAGGGGCCGAACGCTTTGATGAGGGCGCGGAGGAAGGACGGCTGGTGGGGAGCCGCTTTCTGATTGGACAGCAGCACCTCCACTTCCTCCGGGCTGGTTTTGCCCTCCGCGGCTCCTCCTGACACGTGGTTTGTGGCCGATGGTTGCTGCTTAGCGTACGTCGCCTTGGTGGTCAGATTCTGTTCACTGCTGTCAGAGGGGTAGAAATAAAATTTAAAAAAGTACATGGAAACATCAAAACAGGCTTCATATGTCATTAAGGCCATTGTGACACACACTCAATAGTAGACATCCAGTTTATAATGAATAATTTCAACAATTAAAAAAAATGTAATCACTCAGTGCCTCGACTATCCTCCAGGTTTTATAATATTCTTTTTTTCTACTGAAACGATAGATTACAACCAATTCTCACTTTTTAGGGCAAAAAAATTAAACTTTTTCCAGTTTAATCACTGATTCTTACAAAACAGCTTTAAACAAGCTATAAAGTCATGCAGGAAGCAACATATTGGGTATTTTCTAATATTGGTAATATCGGTATTTGTATTTGTTTTGTGTTTTTCTGTTTGCTTTTTTTTTTCCTCATTATTTTTCTGAGGCCCCCACTTTGAAAAATCACTGTTGTAACTGACTGGAAAATAAACTCTCCTTGAAACCACAATTATCTATCACTGACTGATCTGCAGTCTTGTTTGTGAAAAGGCGTAAAAATGAAACTAATTCAAACATTAAAAAAATATGGGTTTGTGTTTGTTGATAATTACACATCTGAAGGTGCTTTAGCCATAAAAATGCAGTGAAAAAGGAGCTGCCATAACTCTTTTTTAACGCGTCAATAATTATTTTAGCTCCAATTTCTACATTGTAAAACATTTTTATTAGTTATTTTGTCTCAGGATGAGATGGACACTTTTACCAGCGAGCAAGTTTCAACACACAGCGGGAGCAAAGCATGAATAATCGTCCCGTCCAATCAACTGCACTTGTTTAAGTGGTGACCGTTAAATCCCTGAGCAGTCAGCTACAATATGGGGAATGAGTCAGCTTGTTAAAGAATATATAGTTATTTACATAAATACAACAAACCTATTCTAACACAAGCTTAGGGTGCAGAAAACCCTCCATTCGTCAACTAACCGTCGAGCTTCGGCTGAATACAAACAGGTTTGTGTGCAGCTCAAAGAAAAAGACCAATCCAGCTTTGACATATCAATTTACGAGTTAATCTCAGTCCAGAATGAGAGACACAGGAAAAAAGTTGTGGCACTGAAACAGGAAACAGCTTCCAGGAGGCCAGAGTTCAGCAAACCTGTTATGCAGGTTTTCTTTTCTTTCTTTTTTTTAAAGAGTAATTAAAAACGTAATAAAATTGTGCTCCAGGGCAAAGTAAAAAGCCAGAGCAATTGTAGCTGAAAACATGTTGCAGTGTAATTAGCTGAGCTATTAAATGATTTTTATTATGAATTAGCAACACAGATGCAAAGCCACATCTAATTATCTTAAACTGAATCTTTTAGCACCCTTTTTTTAAGCTTTATCTTTTCTTTTTATTCTTTAAATCTGACAAGTTGATGAGCTGGAAGAGGTTGTACATATTAGAGGAAGCCATCCCACTGTGTGGGTTACAGAAAGCGTGCTCAGAGTTTCACTTGTGCAGCTCAAAGACCATGCAGAAAGAGACCCATCCTCTAACACAACATCCTCTGCTCTCTGTGGTCTAACAGGGAGGCAAAAAGCAACACGACTCAGCTGCACCAATTATGCACAATTATAAAGGTTTCAAAAGGTTTTTACAGCTGCACATCTGAAAAGGCTGGCGTGCATTTTGTGTTTAAAGCAATTAGGTTTTTCGGGAAAGGAGCTTTGCACATGAAGAAGTTGCTCCGTCCATATTTGTAAAGTAATTTAGGGTCAGACAGACTCAAGGGAGAGAAAAATAAAATAGTTAATTTAATTTGACTTATAAGAAGACATCTTTCCCATGTTATAAGTGAAAATCTGCCAGTGGAACCAAAATGTTTTCATTATTATTGAGGAATTTATTACTAAAAACAACCTCATATTACTTGTAGGTTAGTTTAGTTTTATTTCAAGTGTACTAAGACATTTGAGCAGGAAACTTGACCAAAATCACTTGGTGAGGTTTTGTGTTTTTGCAGTGCAGTTTCCTGCAGAAACCTGCAAAGGTTTCACCAACTCAAAGACTTTCAAAGACCTTTTTAAGACCATCATGAATTAAATTTAAGACCAACTTACAAATTTTCTAATGAATTTAAGACACTTTAAGTCCTTAATTTTATATACATTAATTTAGGACTTAAGACTTTTTAATGGTAGATTGTATTTAAATGTATTTTAATACAAATGCAAGCCACATGTGTCATATTATGTGTGTAAAATTAAAAAAATGAAATTATGCTTGGTCTATCACATAAAACATTAAAAGACATTTAAGTTTGTAGTTGTGGCTTGACGAATGTCTAAAGCTATTCAGACATTTTTCTAGATAACTTTAGACATTAGGCAGCATTTTTACAGGTAGAAAATAATGAGTTGCAGACACGATAGACCTATTTTTCAGTTCAATCTGACATTTTAAACACTCTCAGATTAAGCTAGACTTTATTTTTGAAAGTTTTCATTGTTGGCAAACTTTCTTTTTTAATGAGTAGCAAAGACTGAATGAAAGCCCTAACTCGTACCTCTTGACCTTGGTTTGCTCCTTCTCCCACTCCTTCAGGAGTTTCGGCACTATCGTCTTGGAGCTGTCGCGCTGGTTCAGTGACCACAAGTCTTTGGCTTCAAGGGGCATTTTGTAACCTTTGATGGCCAAACTGGGAGAGAGAAAAAGCAGTTGAATTCAGTCAATCACATACAGGAAATGAATACATAATTTTCACTACATTCAAGTGAAAAACTTCAGTAGCCTCAGTTTTTATTAATCTAATTTCTGTTCCAGTGATTAGCTCCAGACTTCAGAGCAAGCCTGGGATGCTTACTGGTTTCTAGACTCACTAAGGTGTGGAAAAGTTGTGGTTTTAAATGCTTTTCTGCTGCTCCATCTGTTGCTGCACACTGTCACTCAGCTCTCGTGGCTGAACGAGAGCTACAACATGGTTCTCTGGTGCACAAAAGCCAAAAAAAAAAAAAAAAGCAACTTTGATATGGAAACTAAAAGATCGCCTCTAAACACTCTTATTGGGATAACATCATTTTATAAAGATGATGTTATGCACTTGTGTTTTAAATTACTTTGATACGTCACATTTCTACTACTAATTGAGAAAAATTTGGTTCATCGTTGGGTTTTTCTGGAAACTTGAAATATCTTCCACATGAAAAGTTTAAAGTTATTGGAAATAATTTCATGGCTACAAAACAACAGCACATAAACGAGCACAGAAATCGCTTTAACAGTTTCTCCAGGTTTCACCAACTCAAATTTCAGACTTTTTAAGACCATTATGAATGGAATTTAAGACCTGCAGATAAAACGTACAAATGTCGTCCATTCAACTGGCGATGAGTTTCCACTTACCCATGATTAAAAAAAGCTATCAAGGATGTGTTAGCAGCTAGTTATACGGTAGCTTCAACCGTCCTGAGTCACAAAATGTAATGACGTCTGCACACAACTCAAACCTTTGCCTGACAGAAAAGTCCTATGAGAAAATAAAATTAAACAGAATACAAGAGATTAAATAGTTCTGTTAAAACCTGTGACTAATATATTAAAGGACAACTCACATTTTTTAAAATAAATTTCAGATATTTCAAAGCCTTGATTTTAGATCTACGAATTTAAGACTTTTTAAGAATGCCCCATTTAACCAGTTCTGCCACGGAGAGTCCAGTGTTGTCTCCATTTGCAGGTCCTCCCCGTTTTTCATAACCCCTTCAGAAGTGGTACCAGCCAGACCAAGCTGTGTACTGCATGTGTTGTCTTGGTTAGGTTTTAATCTTATCAACTCAGCATTTCTGGCTTTTTATCTTTAAGATTAAATGAAATATCCGGCTTTATTTGAATCAACAATGATAACAGCCACACGGAAGATGACATGCAATGTCAATTTAAGTTTCCACCATCAATCTGATCTATGCGGTCGTGTTCTAGCGCATATTCAAGCTAGATGTAACAAATGAAAAATGCATAATAAAAGTTGAAAACACTTCATGGGTTTGCTGGCTTTGCTGGCTGGGTTTTTTTGAAGTTAGGTGAAAGTTTCACCCAATTTCAGAAAAACACAGCCAGTGGAGACACACCCAGCTTGGCTGAAACTGAGCCAAACATTAACCTGCTAGACTGAGACTCGGTAATGAAGAAGTGGCCTTAGATGCTCCTGCAAGCCAACAGCTTTACAGGAAAAATGCCTCGTTAATTTATGTGGTTTACCAAATAATGTTCTCCCTACCACCAAGACAGACGGTTTAGGCACAGACCTATAAAACCAATGGACAGAAATCAAAGGGAACTGTTCTTTCACACAGAAAAACACCAATGCAAACTGCATATTGAAAGTGGGAAGAGAAACCTTTTCCTGTAATACTGATGTCCTCCCACTCAGTCTTTGACACAGAGCAGAGCCTCAATGTCATCTGAGGGCGTCTGAGTGATGAGAATCAGAATATAGAAACTAAAGGAGGCTCAGAGTTTCATTCACTCTATGTGGGTCACAACTCATTACACACAAGGTTTGCAGCAGTCATTCGAGTCTTCAGTTTTTCATATTTCATAATTTTCTGATTTTTATGCTAAATGATTTATTAGGTTAGACCGGTGGTGTCTAAACGTTTTGCCAGAAAGTCCAGAATCGTTAAGTTGCATTATAAATGACCATTATCAATGACATTTAAGACCCGTATTTCCACAGAAATGTATGAACTTCCTCCATCTAACTGGTGATAAATTTGCACTTACTCATGAAAAATGCAAAAGGCTAGCTGGATAGCTAGCAGTGGATTATTGGTATACTCAAACGTCTGCAGATGTCTGAGTGCAACTCAAACTTTTGCCTGACAGAAAAATCCCGAAAGAAAAAAGATTTTTTTTCCCATCTATGTAGAATATACAAGATGACTAAATTTAAGACCTGTGACGAACATATTAAATTTTGTTTCAAAAAGGAATTCAAGATGTTTTAAGGCCTTGATTTTAGATACATAAATTTAAGACGTTTTAAGGACGTGTGAACACTAATAATAATTTCTAAAGCTTGGTAGTTATGGGCTGTGTGTTTTTCAGCATGAATGAGAAGTCAGTCAAGGAATAGACGACTGGTATTTTTAACCCACTGAGAAGTCGACAAACTGATCAATTACAAGACATAATATGGCATCACAATCGGTCAGAAAAGTTATTATAATAACAAATTTTATATAGTGGTTGATAAAACTCTTTAAAACCTCTAAACTGTTGAATTTTTTTCTTCAGTCCCCCATAGAAACCAATAGAATTAGTCCGGAAAAAGATATGAGAAATTAATTATATTGTACTGTTACATTAAAGTTTGTCTGCATTTCTCCTTCTTTAGCAAATTAACAAGTTGCCAATCTGAATTTAGATATTTCAACACAGTTTCACTCAGCAGCAGCTTGGTTTTTAACTTGGATTTGTTAAAAACCAAGCTGCTGCTCTTTGAAACAGAGAAAAGCTAAATAAATAAAGCTAAAATATTCAACCTTTTATTTTCTAATTCTGAAATATTGTAGTTACGTTAGATGGCAGTGTCATCATAAAATCGTATCACAAAAACCAAAAAGAATCAGCGGCCCACCTTGTGAACCACCAGAAGGTCACGGTGGACAGAAAGCCTGCTGTAGTTTCAGGGCACGGATTCTGAGGAGAAATCAAAAGAGAAACTCAAGTCAGGGCAGTTAAATATATATAAGACATAAACATGCTGCATACTGCTGCAAAGTGTGGGACTCACAGGGTCAGTGACCACATTGGAGAAGAGAGGAGGTTTCTCATTCAAGCAGCAGAGGATGAGCTCCAGGAGGATCAGGCCGAAGTAGAAGTAGAAGGAGGTGAAGCGCAGCTTGTCCGGAATGCCGTCCTGAAATGCACAAAAAAAAAGGAAAAAGAAATACTGTCAATTATTTATCCAGGATAAAAGAGCTTAGTTTGATTTAACTTCAGACAGAGAGAAAAAAATGTGTTTGTGTCTTTATATTACGTGTATGAAAATCTCTGGTTAATAACCAAGTTTCCAAATTTGGGCGTTTAGTCAAACGTTAGATTCCACTTTATTACAAAACTGTGCAGCTTCAATATCAAGCATTTCGAAGGACTTCATTCAGAAACCAATCACTTTCCAAATCTTCAAAACGCCAAATTGAAATTCAAGGATTTCAAGCACCTGTAGGAATCCCATAGTAAATTTTAATTTTCCACGTAACACTTCACACTGGAAGACATCTTAAATATCCGAAATAAAACACAACAAACAGAAGAGAAATAAAATTTAAAAAAAACACGCAAGCAAAACTTCAAATAAAGCAGAATTTGAAATCTCTGCATTTAAAAAAATATGAAACATTTTCATTTATCATGTGATTAATTGCTCAAGTTTCCCCCCAGAAAACTTACCAAGCCTGGTGGTTGGATGCATTCATCCAGCGCCCCGTTTCTGAGTTAAAAAATGTTTAAAGTCGACGGGAAATTTGAAAATATCTCTTGATAATTATGTGATTTTGAAAGATTAGAAGATTAATACCTGAACATCAACTATAAAGACTCTTTAAAATGCTAACATTATAAAGAGAGTTAAATAAATAAGCAATGCTAAGCCTGGTGGGGGCACAAGTAAAGTCTGGTGGCCCACCAGGCTTATGATACACTGAGGGAAACCCTGATTGATTAATTGCTTATTGCCACAGAATTAACTGGTTGAAAAAAGGCCTCAGACAAATCAAATAACCAAAAACAAAAGTCGCGTGAAAGCGAAACGACGGTGACCCATTACTGTTTTTAATGTAAAGCTGCTTCAAAGCCACAGTACGTGTTGAGCAGCTTACTGATGATTCATCAGAGCAGACAGCCTGAATAATGCATGTGTCACTCTATACCAGTGGTTCTTAACCTGGGTTTGATCGAACCCCAGGGGTTCGATGAGTCGGTCTCAGGGGTTCGGCGGAGCTTCTGCCGCGGAGGTAAAAACACACTTGTGTAAAGTCGTGATGACGCCCCGCTTTGCCATCACTTGCTGCAGAGGATCACGTTACATTGCTGAGCCAATCAGCACTGATTGAAGGAGTTCCACTCTCAGCATGGATTTGAACTTGTGTCTTAATTCAGCAAAACTCACCGTTTTTACCAAATTCTATAGTCTAAATCTGCTCCTTAATCGCATCTTTTCAGGGTTGCTACTGCCTCTAGTGGCGTAGGGGTGGTAACACAGCTAATATAATTACATTACTAAATCAGAATACTGCAACGTATTTTGTGTGTCGGGGGGCGGGGGGGTTGGAATAAGAAGGGTTCGGTGAATGTGCATATGCAACTGGGGGGTTCGGTACCTCAAAAAAGGTTAAGAACCACTGCTCTACAAGAGCAGCAACAAAATACAACATTCTGCATCTTATAGACATTTCAAAGTGACTAATAAGTTTATAATAAGCTTCAGTCTAGGTATCAAAATTAAAATGAAAACATTTTATTCTTCCAATAATCAATAAATATGTTTAGCAGCAATAGAAATATATATTTTAGTTTTAATTACAATCTATTATTATTTCATGTCATACACTTTTTTGAAAGTACGGCTTTTTTTTTTTTACCAGCCTCCTATGGAAATCTCACAGCGGCCCATATTTGTTTTCCTGCATACGTCAGAATGAGAATATTAACCTTATAAAGAGGTTAGCTGGGGGTAAAGCCTCCTCTGATTATGGAGCTTAATCCAATAGCTCGGGTATTTAAACACGAGCTCAAACCTTCACACAAAAAGCAAGCGGCGATGCCAGAGAGAGCAGAGGAGCAAAGCCTCCTGCAGTGCGAACAACGCTGACCTGGAAAACGCCTACGCTGCACCGACTCATGCTTTATGACCCGTAAATGAACATTTAGCTGCGACGCTGTGTTACTGCAGAGTCAAACTTTGAGTCTGGTTTCGGAGGATTTTTTTTCGGGGCCCCAAAGCGGTTAGACCATGTTTAAAATCGTCTGTTTCTCTCCTGATCGGGGATTCTGCTCATCTGTCAGAAGAGAGACTTGAATCATAAACGACCTCTTAGATGTTAGAACGGGTGATGACTCAAATGTTTACCGTTTATGTCATCTAGTAAGAAGTGCTTACATTCCTAAAAGTAACCATCATCATCAGCCGTGTGCATCAAACGGGTTTCTGTCCATATAAAGAATGAAGATGAAGATGTGGTGGGTGAAAGTCTTCATTTGCTACACTGGTTTTCTATTGTTTTGTATTGGTTCTCAGCATTTTTACTTCTTTCTTAGCTAAGCATGTTAGTTTTAACCAAAGTCATAAATGCTGGAAAAGTTGTACGACTGTGAGAAAATGTTATCTAGTGAAAATCTGGGTCCTAAAACTCTTAACACAGGGAGACCAATAATCCTGAAAGTCTTTTTTGTTGTTGTTGTTTTTATTGCATCATCTCATTCCGAAATAGTTGGAGAAAACGGCACACAGAGCTCTGTGAGTAAAGTGCCATAAATATAAAAAACATTTGTGTTGGCATGTTACATTTAGAAAAGGTGGTGGCAGCATCATGCTGAGGGGTTGCTTTATTTAAGCAGAGAAACTGAGACTTAACGATTGATGTTCACAGACGCTCTTCATCTAATCTGACTGCAGTATTTAACTTTATATTTTTATTTTTTCAAAAAATGCTTTACATGTTGCTTAAATGTGTCACATAACATAACATGAAACTAATAATCTGTGGGGGGAAAAATCAAGCCCTTCCACCTCCTCCTACGGCCATCTGCAGAAACACACCTAGCCAGAAACAACCAATCAGAACCAGGAGGAGGGTCTTAGCGCTGTCAATCATTCTATTGTATTCCCAAGAACATATCCCACAATGTACAGCGATATTTTAAATATCTCTGCATTCAGATTAGGCTCATTCGACAGATTAAAAGTATCTTTTGAAAATAACAACCTTTATTCGGGTTTTCAGCAGTTAAATGTCATGTAAGCCTGTGGCGACAAATCATTTAATCACGTAATAAATTAAAACAAGCTCAATAACTTCTACTTGTGTGATTGTTTTTCTATAAAGGCTTTGAAACATCTGTGTGTGATGACTCTATATAAAGTGTTTCACTTAGTAATAAAGTTCCTAAAATAATAGAACTGTTGAATATTTACATTTATTGAATGGGCCTGTAAGCTTGTGGCTTTAATAAAACACAAATGTAAAAAAAAAAATGTGAGCACGACAGTCACCACTTGCTTAAAATAACCAGTACAACTCCATCAATATATACTGTATCATATCCTGTTATTACAGTTGGTATGTATGCGCTGCCATGATGTGGATGAATTTTCAACAAAACCTGTGCTTTTTTTAAAAGAACAGAAAAAAACAATGTTTCTTTTCTTTGAAGCGGTCGTATTTACTAGGTCACTCGTCCTTCTCCTTTTTTCCCCGGGAAAGTCTCAAACTCAGCTAGCTAAGGAGCTTACGGCGCTGAAAGGCAACAATCTAAGTACTCAGCCAGGTAATGACCTGCGTCACTAGAATTAAACCGCATGCTTTCCTGCTTCCAACGCACGAGTTACAGTTTGTTGTCATTTCTTTTGCACACTTCCTGCCCGTCTCGCAGCCTGCGGGTTCATTTGATGCGGAGTCGGCGCGGCGCGCACGCTGTAAGTGAGCCGCCAGGAACAAGTCCAGTATTCTGCTCCCTGTGCTTAGTGTTGCCCTGAGCCAACCCCTGCTGAAACATCTACTCACTGTAAACTCCACAGCAGCTCCCAAAAACAACACACAGCACCACTGAGTGATCAAGTGACCTGAAACGACTTGGGAGTCTGAGTGGTGCATTATGTAAAAGACTGCAGAGAACAAAAAAGAAAAAAAAAAAAAAGGCAGATTTGACTCAGTTGGGAGCTGCAGAGCAAAGTTATTAGACTAAAACTGACAAAAGCTGCAATTGAGAAAACATTTTCGTGAACTGAAATGAATAAAAGCAGTACTTAATGAGGGCAAAATTATAACTAGCTGGAGCTATGTAGTGCACATATAAACTAAGTAAATTACGTCACTCAGTGCTCCTCCTGACGCCAATCTGCAAAATGGCAACAGCAAAAGTTGGAAGAAAACACCAGTCAATTGGTTGTTCAACAATAATTGAATCCATTTTGTGAAAAAAATTATCTTCTGTTGAATATTTATTACTGAACCGATGCATGCATAATCGCAATGCAATACTTTGGTTAATTTTTAGGTGGAGAATTTAAAAAAGACAAAAGATTGAGTCACATGCAATCGTTTTCATTGCGTTCTTTGACTTGAAGCTACAGGTAACTCATTCTTAGCTAGCTAGCTACCAAGGTCAAAGAATGAAAAAACTCAAACTAAACGTTTAACTAGCAA